ACAATTTTTGTGTTTTTGATAAATGCAGTAATGAATAATAAATAAGTAAAAAGCCGTAACACAGGCATTTGGTTATTTCAGAATGGACTTCATGTCACTGGGTTATATTAGCTAACACGCGCTAACTGGTACAGTGTACGATATTTGTTTCTGACCTGGCTTTTGTTAGACAGAGTGGCATGGAAAAAAAAAAGATTAAAACTGACCTACAACCAAATGCAATTATTTCAGGTTTAATTTATCCAATGACATTTTCTGATAATCAGTTGGATTTTGAGGCTGTAATTTATATTCCAATTTATGCCATTTAGATATCATCTTTTATTCATATGAATTATTTTTTTTTTGGATTAAACACCTTCGACTCCAATGTCCCCAAATCCATGGATTTTCAATATGTTCTAATTTAAAAACTGTTACTTTAATGATTTAATGTAAATCAACTATTTTTTTTAACTGCTAATCAATACAGTGTAGGTAGTTTTTTTTCTTGTTGTTACCATAATGAAATGAAGAGATAAGGTAGCAGAGAAGCTTCAGTGATATTGATAATCTGTGTCATGTATTGGAAAATGTGTTGGAAGTCCATATAATCTATAATATGTGTGGTAATGCTTACTGTTAATGTTACTGTTGAAGACCTCTTATTATGTTGCTGTAATTTTTGCTGCATAATAATATCACATAATGGAGCCTCATCTCAGTCTTTGCTCAGTGAATACATCCAGTGGCTAACTGCCAAGCAGCCAGCTTTTAATCAGGCCAGACTTAGCCTAAATCATTTTGAATTTGCATTTCACTTTGCTGCTTTTTTTAACTGTCTGATTATCAGTCGTTTGAGCTCGCACATCTGATAAACAAAAGGCACAGATACCTCCTCATGACCCAGTTCAGTTTAACAGGGACTGAACTCAATGCCAGGATGCATTTCCTTAATATCATTTTTATTTTTACAAATTTTTACTTGATCGCAGGATGGAGGGATGGACAGTTTTGGTGAAAGGGGAGCACAAAATGTTTCAAAAGCAAACATGTTCGTTGCTTGTCTTGTATGATCTATAGTCTAATTAGGTATACAGTTACACAGTCAGCATTTTAACTAGGAGGTGGTGCTATAATCTTATTTTAAGATGACAATGCCAGTAGTCTCCAGTAATATGAAACCAGCTGAGGGACAGGTTGAAAAGGCAAATGGACGTTTGGTTTCCTTTAAAGATGATAGGTGAAGACAAGTGCTTTCACCTTAATGCTGTAATCTAATTGTATTCCCGCAGACCCTTATTCTGTTAGGTAACTGCTTACCTGCATTGCTATTTTTAAAACGCCTCAAATCCCTTACATCTTCACTCTCCTTCTGATCTGTCTTTCAGAACAATTTTAGTAAATCACATGTGTTAACTAAAATATACCCTCTCCCCCCATGCCTTCTTTTTCAGGATAACTACAACAGCAGCATGTATGATGGATCTCAGGAGGTATCCTCTGGATGAACAGAACTGCACTCTGGAGATAGAGAGCTGTGAGTAGACAGGCCTAATGCCTTGTGGGCTTGACAGATCAACAGCGGCGCGCAGGCAGAGTGTCTCATGTGTGAAATGTTACAGATGCATGAAAGAATAGGCAACCTGAGGTACAGCAGCGGTTGTGTGTGTGTGTTTCTCTTCTGTGTTCTGTAGCCTTTCTTTTAAATCTGTACCAGATGGATGAGGGTAGTTTATATGACTATGACAAATACTTAGCTAATTTTATTCAATATTATACTTCTATAAAGATTTGGGAAAGTTTAAAAGACCAATCTAGTGCAGTTATTTAGTTAGAAGTCTTTCTTTTGCAAATGTTTGCACCTTATTTAACCTCGTAAAGATCCACCAGGTTGCCATGTGCTACTTAGGGTAGGAATAGTTTCAGGCTCAATTCTACCTCTATAAATGGAATTTTCACCTATTTTACAAATGTAAATCTTATAACAGAAGTACTGTAAGGTTAAAATGCATGTAGGAAAGTAGTTTTGAAAAGTAACAGCATCAAGTTTCTGAAACCTGCTGCTAAAATTCAACCCTAACACAACTCCTCAGTAGTTCGTCAGTAACCTGGTGGATGTAATGAAGTAACATTGATGACAAAATAACAATTACTTTTGGAGACTATAAAAAAAAACCTGCACAGAGGGTAAAGTCTGTGCAAGACTTTACCCTCTGTCATGCATTTTCCTCTGGTTGCTTGCTGGTTCTACTGTAGCAAATATAATATTGAACTACGTCTACATAATCTGTGTCAATTATGCACAACAACACAGGGGTTATTGTTCTGCATGCAGAGATATCTTTTTAAAACAAGCAATAAAAAGACCTATAAATGCAAAACAGGAATATAGACAAACAGCAGGCCAAGGCATCAACCTGAGGGCGAGTCATTTACAAATAAAAGTGATAAGTAATCACCTAATCAATGTAAATCTAGTATTCGCTCTATTTTTAGCTCTTTTAGGCCATTGGCCTATTTAATAGGTACACCTAGCTAGTTTCAGGCTGAACCCTATTTTACCTTCAGAGCTGCCTTTCTTGTGGCACAAATTCAGCAAAGTGCCGGAAACATTCCATATTGACATGATAGTGCAAAACACTTAGCCCTCAGTCGATGTTTTCTCATTTTCGGATCATTCATCACTGTGTAGAAAAATCTCAGCAGTTTCTGAAGTACTGAGATCAGTCGGTGAGACACCAACAGCCGTGCAAAATTCAAAGTCACTTAAATTAATCTCTCTTCTTCAATCTGTGCTCACAATCAGCTCAGCAAGTTGTCTTGACTATGTCTACATGCCTAAATGTGTTGAGTTGCTGTCATGCGATTGGCCGATTGGATATATTTTGTTAACAATCAGTTTACTTATCCATTTCAGGGTCCAGTGTGCCAGAGCCTATCCAGCCTATATAGGGCGAGCATGTAGAGATGGACGGAAATTCACACTCACATTCACACTCACATTCACACCTACAGCCAATTAGGAATCACCAACTGACTTAGAGTAACAAGGTTAGGTTAGATTAGGTTATATGTGGCCATTTAGCTGCTAAATGCTGCAAATGACTTTGGCCCTGTTCTGTTTTGTGCTGATAGCGAGCAGGCCATCGTGGCTGGAAACAGGGCTGATAAGAAACAGTGACACGAAACAGTGATGGCGTGGGCCAAAACAATGAGCTGAAAGACACCAAAGGGCTCGTTACAGACAGGGCATCCCATCTCTCCGTAGAGTGTGTTATTACGAATAACTGGGATGCCATTACACGTGTTATGTTGATATAAAAATATTGATTCAAGCAGATTTAAGTTAGACATTTCACATATTTATTTGTGAGAACTCCTCAGCGTTTGAATGCTGTATCACTTAGCAGCAGTGAGTGTCTCTGCTTGTCCTTTACAGACATCCTCAGGGCACCACTTGGTTTCATGTCAGCCTTCTGATTGGGCACTGATTTACACCTGGCATGCCAACAATACGGCAGGATAGGATTAGGCTTATCAGGAACACATAGAGTTTAAGGCTAGTTAGAGCCAATGTCTCGGCTAGAGTAAGAACAAAGCACATTGTAGATGTTTGTATTTATATTGTTTTTGGTATCATCCCCACAAAAATACTAAAGCGAGATCTGCTAATGGCACTGGACATGTCTATTTTATAATTCTTCTGACATTTTCCAAACCCCAAGTAAAGCTATTAAGAAAAGCGCCTGTTACTTGGAAACAACTTCAAAAGTGTTTTTTTTATTTCCTTCCCAAATGACAGCCCAGTTGGATGATCAGCAACACTGCATGTCTTGGTCTCCAGTGATGGTTAGACAGATGGTTACACCTTGGTGTGCATGTGTGTGTGTCTGCGCGCGTCTTCTTCTACAGATGGCTACACCACAGACGACATCGAGTTCTACTGGAAGGGAGGCGAGACGGCTGTGACGGGGGTGACACGGATTGAGCTGCCTCAGTTCTCCATTGTCGATTACAAGCTGGTGTCCAAGAACGTAGTCTTTTCCACAGGTAAATGCTTCATCAGCTGGATTACCTCTGGGAATAATGCACGGTGAGGCTAACTAGGGGATGTGACATTTTAGATCATATTGTCCATTTCATGCACTGGCCTGTTTTCAGGAGCTGATTCTTCCATCAGTTTCTGCAGCAAACATGCCAAAATGTCTGTTGATCTTATATACAGATATAATATATATATTGGTACTTTTAATTGGATTGAAATGAGGAAATGTCTTTGGAGTATTCCTCATGCAGCAGTAGGCAAAGCGAGCTTGTTGGAATGGTGCTCAAGCGGGACATGTGGTAAATTAGAAAGTATATCATGCCCACTTCTGGCAGTTCTTGACCCAGAGAGGTGAAGTTTAATGGATGTAATGGTTCAGTTATTGTGCTGTCAGTAGGAAATGTAGCTGAAGACTCTTATCAAGTCAGTGTGATTGCAGCAGTCTGATTGTGAAGCCCCTGAAAAATTGGTTTCAAATACAATAATAATAAATAGTCATAATTAAAGACATGAATGTCTAAGTTTGTAGTTATTATTTATGAAAACCTCAGTTTCAATTCAGTTTTATATAGATGATACGATATGATTTATATAGCCCCAAACCACAACAGCAATCCTTTCAAGATGCTTCATAGTGTAAGGTAAAGACCCTAAAATAATGGGGAGAAAGCCCAAGCAACTAGGCAACCCCCTATGAGTGACCACTTGGCGACAGTGGGAAGAAAAAAACAGGAAACAAACCTCCGGCAGAACCAGACTCTGGCCTGCTGAACAGCTGGGATTGAGGGGAGGAAGATGGGATAAAAAATGATATTAAACAGTCACACAGCTGTTTGCAGATCTGATCTAAAATGTTGTTCCTTTCAGAAATCGCTCATGTTGAAACAACTAAATTGATGTAGGTTTGAAAGAAAATTGTATCTTAACATAAAAGTTGTATCAACATTTTCTGAATTATTTGTATAGCTTCATTCACTGTCATCACAATACAGTGACAAACACTTGAGGATGAGGATGTTACTTTAATACTGTTACACCCTACTATATTCACTCTCTGTGGGCTAAAAGGCTCCCTCTGCACTACAAAGCATCCTGCCGCTAGAGCCCAGCCGATATTCAGTGATTCAAATAATGTGATAGTCCGATATGTGGGCTGATTTTTTTCCCTTTCAGAAACACGAAGCATAAACAGATTGCCACAAGCCAGCAGATCTCAGACCTTATTTATCATCTAATGACCTTTAACCTCTAATGAAATGTGGATGACAAGAAATACTGAGGAAGAGTTTCAGGGTAGTTAGAAGGCAAAATGACAGGTTAAGATAACTTGTAAAGTCAATGTATATGAAGGATTTACCGTATCACATTTCATGTTCTAATTCATGTGTGTCAGATCGCTGTAGAGGAGTTATTTTAACAAGTAATCCTCATTTCAGTCGTATTCCATGAACTTTGATTTGACACGTCGCCCATCCACTGAGGTCCAAAATGAGTCAGACTGTTACTCAATGTGTACATTTACGCCGGAACGCAGAGTGTTTATGAACGTTTCCAAACCAGCGACCATATAATCTGGTCAGAGGGGACACATAGAGAGAGGCGGCTTCTCCGGAGCCTCAGAAATAAAAGCTGTGTGACATTTAGTAATAATGTAATTTCTCACAGAAGTTATGCTCATGAGGAAGTGCCACGCTGGGTCTGAAAAGGACATGCACAGTAAATCACTCTTTGTTTGCCTTCTCGGGCGTGCGTAACATTTCTGTTGTAGCCGTTCTGCGTTATTTAGTGTTTTTTCACGCTGAGTGCACCTTTCTCTGTCTGTACTGCACGTGCGGCTGCTTTCCATTTACCATCATACGCGGGTGTCTCTGCCCTTCATGTGAATCACATGTAAGTGTGCCGATGCAAGCGCGTCTCTTGTTTATGAGAGGCGGCTTGTCCCTTGTGGGTGGTGGCTATTATTTTAATGTCCGGTGGTCTGCTCGCCCGCTCAGGATGTGTGAAGCACATCAAAGGCTCCCTGCCAGGCTGCCTAATGATCAGGTCTTGTCCATGTCATGTGCCACTAGCAAGCCTTTAGTTCCCTTCCCTTTTTTTCCTTTCCTGCTATCCCTCCTTTCTGTCACTATCTCTCTCCCTCTTTTCTCTTCCTCCTGTTTTTCCTTCGGGCTTTCTTTAATATAACTTTTCTTAGTGCTTTTAAAAGGTGTGCTTGGATGCCAACTACCCTGCTCGCTGCAAGAAAAAAAAAAAAACGGGTTTCAGGGCATCATAAATTCATTTGAAATGAGGCCCTCAACACATCAGTGTTTCTCATTTAAACACACACAAACTGTCTGTTTGCATGCGAGGGTAATATCTGCATGTCCGTATGGAAATGCTTGTATAGCCACTAGGGCAACATTTCTGAGTTAGGTAACATTTAATAGACTGTATAGAAAAGATGGATGTTGCTACCATGGTTTCAAATGTCTGCTCAGGAACAACTCGAGGAACACAACAAAGCTTGCTTAGTCCCAAACCAATCAAGCATCAGAACAAGCTTGATTCACTGATGTTACCTAATGGATCCAAAGTCCGGCACCCCCAGAGATCCTCTGTGTGTGCATCAGGAGGTCAGAGCTCTTTTTGGTAGAACAGAGAAGCAACAAAATACTAAGCAGGTGGTTTTAATTCTGTGACTCGTTGTTCTTTAAGCCTCGAATATACCTTCGAGTTTGTGTGTTTTAGAAAACAAGAAATGCTTCGTTAACAGCTTTAGAAAAAAAAGCCCTGAAAGTACTCATTTTTAATTAATGTAGGACTGAAATTCATTAAGAAGCTTTTGCAGACTGCGCACAAGGACAAATCTGTGTTAGAAAAAAAGACTTCACTAAGACTTCTGCTGCATACTTGCGATACACTTTTAAAAGCCAGTAATGCAAGTAGTTATATCATGCAATGCTTCATCTGAGCTGCAGGTAGTCAGCCCAACATAAAAAGACGGAAAGCTAAAAAAACAACCTTCATAAAGAAAGCTTGAGCAGCATGATCCAGTGCAAGATTGGCGCGTATGGGGTCAGTGGATCCCTTAAAGACGCGTCATTGCCAGAATCAAACTGTCAGTGGATACAGCACAGCCTCTCATTGCTTCTAAACCTTGACAGTAACACTCCTGCGATCAGCGTGTCAAAGCAGACAAAAAAAGTCACCACCTCCACCTCTTCAGCCTTACCCAGACTCCACTATATGACTGCCATCATCACCTTAACTCTTTGCCTTTTCTTTTTTTTCCCCCTCATCTCCTTCCTCCCTCTCCTCCCTCTCCTCCCCGCCCTCGCACATGGTGTTCCTCCCACTTGGCGATGTTGTTTGGTATAGCAGTTACAGCCAGTACTGCTCTACACCCACACACAAGTGAACCTCAGCCTCCTCTTTTTCTGAGCCACTTCTGCATCTGCTACTGCGGAGATACTCTGCTCCGATTTAGGCTGGAGGAGTTGCCATTAAAGCTGCATCTAAAAGAGTGAATGGGATATTGCCACAGTCTGTTCCTATATTCACACTGCAGTGAAGTGTAGGTTCAGCATGTGTGGAGTTTATTCACTGCTGCCAAAGCTGTAAATATTGGAGAATCATTGAATGTGATAAACAACGCATACTTTGTGTATTTATATGAGCTCTAACATATGCTCGACTGTGAGATGAAGCTTTAGTTAAAGTTGCACAAAGAATTAAACACAGAAGCTAATGGAGTTAGCTAGCTGAGACAATTAATTGATCAGTGAATCATTTAAGCAACTAATCAGTTGATTAGTGGAAGTCAAACGGAGTCAAATTCTTCGTTTTGGCCAAATAAGGTTTTTGTAACTCATTTTAATCAATACATCCAGGTAAAATTTCACAATCACACAGTATCGGGGCAATGTGTCAGCTAGTGAGCACACCCTAGATATCACTCCTTTAGAAATCGAATTTTTTTTTTAAATTCAGTATAACCCAAAATGATTGACTGAACCCATAAACTAATCAGTAAAGTCCTTACAGGATTAGAGAGCCTTTCCAGTTCTGACAAACCTGCCTACATAAACATTCTTTCCGATATTGACAAGGGTTAGACTCTCAAACCAACAACTAACCCTAAGATCTAACTTTATTTTAGATTTGATTGTTGTTAAGCTGACTGGAAAACCAAATATACCAAACAACATCCATGGATGTCTGGTGCTTGGTGAGGTAACTTTGGAACGACCAATCAAATTGACATGAGGATCTGTTAACACCAAAATCCCTACTTTAAGTTTAGGCTTACATGCTTTACTTGTATTTATTTGTAAGTGGAAGTGATGGGATAATTTGGGATATTTTATTACACCTAGTTAGTAGGGGTGCAACGATACACAGAATTCACGGTTCGGTTCGGTTCGATACTTTGGTGTCACGGTTCGATATTTTTT